AATAAATAAAATAAAATAAAAATAATTGTGCCTATATACGTGAACAATTTACGTTTGTGTGTGTTTTTTAGGTATAAAATGCATTATTTCAAAGATATTGTGAAACTGTGACAATTGTATCACATCTATGTTTATTTGTTTGTTTATTTATTTTGTTTTTAAATAATTACTTTTTATTGTTTTCGGCAAAATTAATGTCTTTTTTTTTATATAAAAAAAAGCTCAACAACTTAATTTTTGGGTTTCCGATGTGTTTCAACTTAACAATTTTTGAAAGACAGAAAATGAGAAAATGGCATAAAATCTAATATTTCATTTATTCTAAGTTAAAAATACAATCTAACTAAGGTTTTATTTAAAGTTATGATAATTAAAATGTTTTGTGATTTTATATTTATTAATCTTTAGTTTAGGCAGATTAAAAGTCGTAGACTCACCTTCCAATCACACTCTATTTATATGCATGGCACACATCTTAAAAATATAAAAAATTGTCATTCTTATTTTGTGATATAATAATTATTATTTCTCATAGACACAAGTCAACCACTTCATTTGGTAAACTATCAATTAGTCATTTCAATATTACTCAGAAACTGTTATTTTTTTTTAATTATTATTTAAATTGTCTAACTTCATGTTAGTTTTTTATATGAGCTTTGAACTTTTTAGCATGAACCTCTAATTTTTTTTTTCCAGCTATTTGATATTTTAAGTCAATATAGTTTAATCAATTATTAGATGTGACAAAAAAAAATTATATGATGTGTTTTCTAATTGACATAAATTTAGGGTTTAAACCCCCAAAAAATTTAATAAATGAGAAAAATATGAAAAATTAAATCACTGACAATTTCAATTGAAATCTTTTACTTGTTGGGTAAACTACCAATACGTCCTAATAGTTAGACTTAATTCCCATCAAGTCCTATTGAAAATAAATCTTGATAAAATTATCGATAAAAATAAATTTTTTGTGACAATTTTTTATATATGTCGCTAAAAATTGATAATTAGTGATTTTTTTTGTCATGATTTTTATAAATTGTCGCTAAAACTTATAATTAATGACTTCTTTATGACAATTTTTTCTCATAGGACTTATTAGACAATAAGTCCACTTATTAGGATATATACGTAAGTACCCCTTACTCGTTTAAGTTAAATTATTTTTCCCCATTTAATCAAAATTCCTTAATTGGTCCCTTGTTCGGAGAAAATGACAACCCATAGTTTAGTTTTCTTCATAAACTCTCTAAAAATGAGGCACAAAATTGAGCAAGGAAGTCCGACGCCATTCAAGCCTTAAGTCGCTATCGTTTCTCTCATCTTTTGATATGTGATAATCATCGTCGTCGTAGTCTCGATGCTTTTCGTGCTTGGAATGGTTCTTATCAAAGGAGTGGTGGTGGTGGTGATCGTCATTGGCGTCTCTAGGTTTTAGTGGCTGATTCACTACCTGTGGTTTTGATCTTTGTGGCTATTGCTTGAATCTCTGTATTCATCGGTTGAATCTATATCTCTCTCTAAAACTCACCACTCTCTACGGAAGGTTTTTCGGCAAAATTGTTGGAAGAGTAAAGAATAATCAACTATGAATAGCCGCAATGATCTGAACTCTTTTGGCGAGAAACACTTTTATTTTATTTTATACAAGTTTAGAAATGTTTTGTATGTGGATTTTTAGTTGGTTCATCTAATATGTATTCTGTTTTTTGTAATAGTAAAATATTGCTGTTTACATCAATTTCGACGGTACTTTTTCGTTTAAATAATTTCATAGTCAATATAGATATTATTTGATAGATCTTGATGAGAAAATTCTTAAAATACTAATTTTATTAAAAATCAACATTTAAATTAAAAATTATATTATTTTAAAGTTTAAAATATTAAATTACTCACTAAGGATATTTTTATAATAGTAGTATGTGTTAGTCTTCTCAAGTTTTTTTTTAAATTTTTTTTTATAATACTTATCCTTAATACGTTAAAATTTTATTATGAGAGGCTTTGACCAAATCTCTCTTCTTAAAAGATAAATGATAAATGATTTCACTTGAACTAGTAGTAGTTTTCACCCATCATCTTTGTTTTATTCTTCTAATTTTTATATCATATTTAAACTATCATTTTCTTGGTTTATATATTAAAATTACATAACTAAAAGCACACAATAGTTTTTCCTACATTTTTGTTAATAGATTAGATTACATCGACTTAATTATTAAATTTCAAGGGTTTAAATAGAGAAAATAAAAGTTCAATGGTCAAATTGAAATATAATTAAAAGTACGATGATCACATTAAAAACTAAAATAAAATTGGAGGCACTAACTAGTATTTTATCCTAAAATTTTCTTATTTTATTTTCCTTCTAAAAAGAATTAGAAAAAGCAAATAGCTCTTCTTTAATTTCAATTCTCATTTTCACTCATCCTCAAGTGCTTAGAGTATCTCTAATGGTTTGGTATCAAAATAGTAATTTAAAAGTTTAATTTTGACATTTTTCGATACCAAAATAAAACAATATGGCATTTTTACTAAATATAATTTTGGCACATCGTTGAAAATGGATTCAAAATTTTTTTATTTTTTTTGGCTTCTATAAGAAGGATAACACCATTACTAATCCAATCATCAAACAAATAGAGCCTTACTGTTACTCTTATAGCATCTCCAACATTTCTAGCCATTTTAGCTAGTAAAAGTACAATCAAATTTGGTTTTTTTTCCCCTTTCTATTTTAGTTAGTAATTTTGTGCAATGCATATTTCAATAGCTAGTCCTATTTTAACTAGTTACCTTTAAGAGTTATTCTTCTCCTTTTTCTTTTTTTTTTTTAAATTTTTTTTTATGGGTTTAATTTGAATAAATTTGTTTCAGATAAGCAAAATTAAAAATATATATATATGAACTAAAATGACTAAAGGACATTTATACAAACTCTTCTTATTTGATTTTGAATTTTTTTTTATTGACTTATGCTATTTTATGAGAAACTTCACATTTTACTTGATTTAGAAGTTCGAGTCTTTTTATGTAAATATTCTTTTTCTATTCGAGAGTAATATTTGTGAAAAAATGAAAAAAGAAAAAGAAAAAAAAGAAGGCCATAGTTCCAAAATAATATAATATCAACATGATTAAAAAATAATGGAGTAGTTGCAAAATAATTTTAAGAAAGGCATAGTTTCAAGCTTCCTTACCTGAAAAAGACATAATTGGAATATATTGACTCTGCTTGGTAATATTTATAAATTAACTTATTTATTTGATGAAAAAACTTAACTAGTGGTGTTCTTTTTGGAAAAATTTAAGTTCCATGATTGTTTTTGTAAATTATTAAGCCTCTGTTTGGGAAGAGGCTTTTCAAAAGACAAAATAGGCTATTTTAGTCACAACAAACAAAATATCACATTCAACTCATAATCATTACACTATTCTCTCACAAAAAAAGTCAAAAAAGCCAAAATTCAAAAAGCCCTTCCCAAACCAAGTTTTTTAACCAGGTTAAAATAGCCAAAAAAGTCAAAAAGTCAAAAAGCTAACCCACTTTCCAAACGAAGCCTAAGTTCTATTAAATTTGAAAACATATACTATGAAATTCTTTCACTATATTTTTTGAAAATTTCAAATGTGGATTTGTTTTATTTGTGCGCTATTATCTTATTAAACTTTTGTCCAATATGCCATTTTTACAATGTGACAATTTGACATCATTCTAATAGGTATATGATTATCTTATTAAACTTTTGATAAAGATGTTATTCTTCTTAAAATGTGACAATGCAATATTTATGCGCTATTATCTTATTAAACTTTTATTTAATGTGACATTCTTGAAACGTAATAATGAGACATTATTCCAATAGTGTATACTAATGTCTTATTAAATTCTTGCAAATATATCATTATTAAAATGTAATAATGTGACATCATTATAATATGTACACTATTATCATATTACATTTTTAGATGTGGGTATGTTTCGTTTGATAAATTTTAATATAAAATAAGACTTACGAGTTCATAACAATATTTATATAAGCCATAAATCATGGACATACGATATATTAGTAAATGCCTTTTTTATCTTCTTAAATTGTAACTTTTTTAAAAATTATTTGAAAGTCTTAAGTATATATGGGCAAAGGAGTCTTATCTCTCTTCTTCATTTTTTTAAAAAATTATTTATTTATTTATATATAATCAAACAAGTTTAACATGTTTATTTTTTTACAAATTATGAAAAATTACACTTAATATATTTATATTTTTATTTTAAATTATTTAAATTAATAAATTTAAAAATATAATCATAAAAAATAATTTATAGATAATACTGGGGCAATTAGGACACCCAAAAAAACCCAAATGTCATAACTAAAGTATTTTAAGGTATAATTAAAAAAATGAGTTAAAATTATAATTAAAATAATAAATAATTAATATTATAATTAGTCATAACTAATACATAATATGTATGATTAAAGTCCTATATAAGAGCAACTCTGATATTACTTTTCATTTTTTATTAGCTAAAATATGAAAAAATATATATTTTGTATTTTACCTAATTAATTTTTTTATTTATGTGCTCCAATGCTGATATTTATTTTATATATTTATCCACACATACTAGTTTAAGAAATCTCTCATTGCCCTCCAAATATAACTAGCATGCAAATATCTTGTTAAAATAACTATTATACTAACTAGTCTATTAGGTTGAGTAAATAACATGAAATTAATTATAATAGCTAATAAGTCTACTTTAAAGAGTTTGTTGAAGATACTTTAACACGATCTTAACAAAATTACAATATCATAATGGGATATCTGATACACAAAATAGAAAATTTTAAATCATCATATATTAATTTAAAATTGTAATAAAAACATAAAAATATCCCTACCCACAATCCAGCATTAAATCCTTTAGAAATAAAAACCCTAAAAGGAGCCATTGTAAGATCAAATCCCCCAAGACTCGATCCTCGCCGTCAGTCACTCCATCCAACGGTCCACATCTCCCCAGCACTCGTGCTTATCACTCCATTCTCTCTTCACTTCAGTGTTCTCTCTCTCTCTCTCTTTGTTCAACACCCACTTTTCTCTCTAAAAATGGCGATTTCAATAACCGATCATCGTCGTTTCTCAACGCGAACCAACAAAGATTGTTCATTTTCAATCCGATCTCTGTATCTATGAGTGATTTGAAAAACTCACTTTGAACAAAACACATTGTTCATCATAAACTCAATCAAAGCTTTAATTTATAGCTTTTGATTCACAGTTTTGATGATGAAATTAACTTATTCAACGTTCTAACACCGTAAAGATCGAGTTTTTGTAGGTTTTTTTTGTTGTTAATTTTAAGCTCACAAAGTTCTGATTTTTGTTACAGAGTCTTGTGTTATGTATATAGGAGGTTATGATTACTGATAGTTATTCGAAGATGATGTCTGATATCGGAATGCGATCGATGCTTCAGAGCAACGATTACAGCGAAGAGTTAGGGTTGTTGCTCAGAGAGCAACGAAGGCAAGAGGTTAATGATCGAGAGAGAGAGACGAGTCTGTATCGCAGTGGTTCAGCTCCTCCCACTGTTGAAGGATCGTTGAACGCCGTCGGAGGCTTGTTCGTCGGCGGCGGCGGCGGAGGTGGTGGTGTTGATTTCGGTGGTCTATCGGAGGAGGAGCTGAGGTCTGATCCGGCGTACATTTCGTATTACTATTCGAATGTGAATCTGAACCCTAGGCTTCCGCCGCCACTGCTGTCGAAGGAGGATTGGAGGTTTGCGCAGCGAATGCAGGGGGCGAGTGCGAGCTCAGGTTTGGGAGGAATTGGAGACAGGAGGAAGGTGGGTAGAGGAGGTGGTGATGGAGGTAACAACAGGTCTCTGTTTTCAATGCAACCGGGGTTTAATGGGAAGAAAGAAGAGAATGGAATCGAGTCGAGGAAGCCGCAGGGAGCGGCAGAGTGGGGCGGTGATGGACTCATCGGATTGCCGGGGTTGGGATTGGGAACTAGACAGAAGAGCATAGCAGAGGTTATTCAGGTCATTTTCATTTGATAGATCTCATTTTTTTTGTTTGATTTTTGAATCTTCTTGCTTCTTATCAATATTATGGTCCCTGATGTTAGTGTCAGATATGCTGAAACACCTCGTCATCGTTGAAATTAAGTAACTCGGATTGTGGTAGTATTTTTGTGGAGTCAAAATTCTGGGTCTATCTTCAATTTGATATTTTTAAAATATACATTTGATTTGATTTTGTTCTTTGATGTTTTGTGTTGTGTTGTTGCTCATATTGGTGAGGTTCATTTGCTCTCTGTTTATCCTGACGCATATCATTTGGTATACCAATTTAATTTATTTCTTATGTTAATTTTGGATGTGTTGTAAGTGTTAATTCTTCGTGAAATGCTGAGCTTGTGCTTTTCTGTAATTTATTTTCTTCAAAATAAAGCATTTTGATTTTTCTCTTCCTTGTTGCAACCTCCTGTTGTCTGTTTGCTAATTAATGTGTTGCATCACAATAAAGGGGGGTGGTGTTTGGTCATTTCTGCCGAAAAGGTGGATCGAAGAAAGAAACAATCTAACTGCCCTTGTTTTTTAGCAAAATGATAGTGGAGTCCTTGAAAGTGAGATCGAATGATATAGAATTTGTGTTTTAACAATAAGAGGCCCCAAAAATGTAGATGAGTAGTTCTCCATGCTTGATTCACATTTTTTGAAGTGTCTAAAATTTGGCGTTATGTTCCATATGTAAATGAAAATTGAAGTTCCTTTTTATGTTTCCTTTCCTATTTTTGATTTCTGAGTGTTTGCTTCTTGTCAGCATTAATGTTGTAGTTATATTCAAGTGCGGGATTGAAATTTGTACACATGCTTTGATGGCACTTAAAATGATGACTAAAATTCGGCTGGAAGAGACTTGATGTCCTAATTGTATGATATTGTTGATCAATTCTGTAATTGTGAATAAAATGGAGTTCATTTGTTCTCTCAGCTTACATTTGTGTGTGTGTGTGTGTGTGTGTTTTGTATATATAAGCAATTAGAATTCATAGGGTATTAGATTTGCTTGTGTTTCACGGACTCCGTAACCCCTAATGGACTTGTGTCAATATGACATGACATGAATATGAAGGGTATGGGTATGTGTCCAACATATGTAACAAACTGGACACCCAACTCCCCTAAATGTGATGATGGATGGCGTATAATCAAGTAATTTTGACAGTGAAGTGTTTTTCGCTTTGTAGGTGGAGATAGGGAAATATTATATTTCGATTGCAATTCCTTTAATTTCAAGTATATCTTTAAGTAATAACATTATGTGAATGTATTTAGGTATACAAAACATGTCCACATAGACCTACCCAACTTTGGGAGACAATATCCTTATATCCTCTGATTACGTGTTCAAGGAGGTCCAACACCTTGATGCAGAACTACACCTGAATTTGTATCTGCACCCGTATAATATAGAAATATGCAAAAGAGGGCCAAATCTTACTTAAGTGCTCATAAATGCTAAGGTTTCCTTACTCTTTTCTGCTGTATCTTACATTTAGTGTTGCTTATTGGGCCTCCTTGTATTGACCTTTCTATATTTTGCGGCCTCTCTCTCTCTCTCTCTGTGTGCCAGTTAGTTTTGAATCTTTTAACCCTGATACCTCCAGGTCATCTAAATCCTGAATCACCTTGTGGTTTTCTTATTATATATTAATTGTTAAAACTGTTGCAGCCTATCCTAGTTTCATTGTATAAAACCTCCAGGTCATCTAAATCCTGAATCACCTTGTGGTTTTCTTATTATATATTAATTGTTAAAACTGTTGCAGCCTATGCTAGACGTCAAGTCCTCTCAATTCAACTGGTTAATACAGAATTTATTTGTTAACAAGGGTGATAAACTAGGATGCCTGACACGTTAAGGAATATTTAAACTAGGAATGATTATGCAGTAACATTGTCCACTGAGGTCTGCAGTGTATCTGCATAATTTTAGCATGTTAAGTCATAATGATAATAACTTTTATGTGTCAATCTTTTTTTTAAACATTAATGTCCTTTGGAAATCAAAGATTTCAAGTTTGTTCACTGCTTGCTTTGAAATGCACAATTTGAAGATACATCCCTCTTTGAATGTATGATATGATATCCTATGTAATAATGTTTATCCTTTGCAAAAATATCTAGGGCTTTAATATATGCATGTAGAAATACACACGAGGGACAATTATCATGTGTGGTGCTATGTGAGACAATTATCATGTGAAGTTATTCACATATGTATGCACAATATATTTATACATATGCATGTCTGCATTTGTGTAAAACAAACGGATTTGATTGTGACAGATTAGGAGTTGTCTAAACAATATTTTTTTTTTTGTAAATTTATTAATTACCATTATGGATGTGGGATATAGAATGAGTTTTTTTTTTTTTTAAAAATAAAAGGGTATTCCTGGTATTGTGCCGTCTTTAGTTTGTTTGATGTGCATGGATCTACAATGCTATGCCTTTCATTGTATAAACATCACTTTTATCCAGTTTGATGATGTGGTGCTAACATGCAGGATTACATTTCTTTCTTCAGATGGTGGGCTTGTGGTTCTGAATTAAGTATTTTGTTTTTTGATGCAGGATGATATAAGTCATGCAACATCTATTTCTAGGCACCCTTCTCGTCCTGCAAGTCGAAATGCATTTGATGACAATGTTGAATCTTCTGAATCCCATTTTGCTCATCTGCATCATGAACTGGCATCAATTGATGCTTTACGTTCTGGTGCAAATATCCAAGGCATGCCTGCAGTGCAAAACATTGGTGTAGCTGCTTCTCACACTTATGCTTCTGCTTTGGGTGCCTCCTTGTCGAGAAGCACTACTCCTGACCCTCAACTTGTTGCCAGGGGTGCCATTCCTCTTGTTATGGGAGGGATGACCAGCTCTATCGATAAAAGAAATATTAATGGTCCAAATTCGTTCAATGGTGTGTCGACTGGTATGAGTGAGCAGGCAGATCTAGTAGCTGCTTTGTCTGGCATGACTCTATCAACAAATGGGTTGATAGATGAAGAGAACCATTCCCGGTCTCTAATTCAACAAGAGATTGATGATCATCAGAACCTTTTCCATTTGCAAGGTGATCAGAACCATATTAAACAACATCCTTACCTAAATAATTCTGAATCAGGGAAATTTCATTTGCATTCTGCTTTGCAATCAGCCAAAGCATCCTATTCCAATGTGGGTAAAACTAGTGGCATAGGGATGGAACTGAACAACTCTTCCTTGATAGCTGATGGACAAGTTGAACTTCATAAACCTGTGTCCTCTGCAAGCTCATACTTGAAAGGACCTTCTACTCCAATTCTCAATAGTGGAGGAAGTTCACCATCCAACTATCACAATTTGGATAGCCCAAATTCATCATTTTCAAACTATGGCCTAAATGGGTATTCCGTTAATCCTGGATCACCATCTATGATGGGAAACCAGCTTGCTAATTTGCCACCTTTGTTTGAAAATGTTGCTGCTGCTGCATCAGCAATGGGTGTCTCTGGCATGGATTCTAGAGCATTGGGTGGAGGTTTGGCTTTAGGACCAAATTTTATGGCAGCAGCAGCGGAACTGCAGAATCTTAGTAGAGTTGGAAATCACAGTGCAGGGAGCGCTCTTCAGATGCAACTCATGGATCCCTTGTATCTTCAGTACCTGAGATCAACTGAGTATGCTGCTGCACAGGCTGCAGCCCTCAATGACCCAACAATTGATAGGGAAGGCATTGGAAATTCGTACATGGATCTGATTGGACTTCAAAAAGCTTACCTGGGGACGTTACTTTCAACTCAGAAATCACAGTATGGTCTTCAATACGTTGGTAAATCTGGTAGTTTAAATCATAATAATTACTATGGAAACCCACAATTCGGTCTTGGTATGTCCTATCCTGGAAGCCCATTGGCAAGTTCCCTCCTTCCAAACTCCCCTATTGGATCAGGTAGTCCAGTCAGGCATAGTGAGCGGAACATACGTTTTCCCTCTGTTATGAGGAATGTGGCTGGTGGTGTCATGGGATCTTGGCACCCGGAAGCTGGTGGTACCTTGGATGAACATTTTGTGTCCTCATTACTAGATGAGTTTAAGAGCAATAAAACAAAGTGTTTTGAGCTTTCAGAAATTGCTGGTCATGTTGTTGAGTTCAGGTATGCATTACTAGTTAATATTTTTGCCTCTTTTTTTCCATGCCCTCCGAAAACTTATTTACTTAATTAGACTCTTTGTGTGAGCAGCGCCGATCAGTATGGGAGTCGGTTTATTCAACAGAAGCTTGAAACTGCTACAACAGAAGAGAAAAACATGGTCTTCCATGAAATTATGCCCCAAGCTCTTTCACTGATGACTGATGTGTTTGGTAACTATGTGATCCAGAAGGTACATTACTTTCTTGACTAATTTGTATTTGATGGGGTTATTGAGCTGGTACTTATTTGCTGGTGAATGTTCTTCAATCATGTAATTTTCTGAGAATAACTGTGGAAAAAAAATGTAGCTGACATATACCTCTTTTATTTTTGTCAGTTTTTTGAACATGGAACTGCATCGCAGATAAGAGAATTGGCTGACCAACTGAGTGGGCATGTTTTGACTCTTAGCCTTCAAATGTATGGTTGTCGCGTGATCCAGAAGGTATCTTTGCTCTTTAACCACATAACTTCAAATTATATAGAGTACTGTTTATGAGTTCCATGTGGCTTAAAAATTATAGAGTACAGCTTAGCATGACCATATGCTTGATCTATGGGATAAATAACATTATCTAATATCTTTCTAAGATATGTTGGTTGGAGCATCTACAAAGCAGGTCAGCTGGTTCCATACCAGCTTCCTGGTGACTGAAATAATGAGAACCACCTCAAAGCTGGTTCCAGAATAGGTGAAAAATGAATCAGTTTCAAATATTTGTGGACTGCTGTACAGGAATCTTATCCCTGCTAAATGGGTTTTGAAAGTAGGACCAGGTCTAAATCTCCCCTCTGATTTTTCAGCATCCTAAATGTGTAATGGGTTTTGTTTTCTTTCTTAAATTGTTAAGAAAACCATCCAGCTGGTGAAATCTTAATCTTTTGGTGTGCTCAATAGATCAGCTTTTGTCTTCTTGGTAGTTTTTTTAGCGTACCATAAACTTTAATAATATTCGATTGATTTATATTTTACGTTGTCAATTCAACCATTGTTGTAAGCCATCTCAGGACTGCACTTGATTTTCTTTTTTAAAAATTGAAATTCTTGATTTATTTTTTAAAAGGAATCAATTTGAGAAGGATCCTACTTGCTTGGTATCTCAATCTAGAAGATAATCTGATGTGTGAAATTTGTTAGTAGATGCTTGGCTTCTTGATCTGGAAGAAGGTGCACAATCCTTGCAGTTATTGCTTAAACTAATTTTAGAAGTATCTTAGAACTGAGGACCCCAAGTCTGAAATCTGTTCTATATGAATTATGTTCAAGAGTACTGTAGGGCTAAATGAACAGAGATGTAAATTTTCATCTACGACATAAGTGCTTCTTGTGTAAGGATTTCTTTTTTCCTTTTTTGATAAGTCACTTGCAAAAGGAAAATAAATGAATAAATGAAAGCAGCATGACGTTATTGCTGAAGTTACTGGGTTTGACGCACTTCCTTTGTAACAATATCCAGGCTATAGAAGTTGTTGATCTGGACCAGCAGACCAAAATGGTTGCAGAGCTTGATGGCCATATCATGCGTTGCGTACGTGATCAGAATGGGAATCATGTCATTCAGAAGTGTATTGAATGCATACCTCAAGAAGCTATTCAATTCATTATCTCAGTATTTTATGATCAAGTAGTGACCTTGTCCACCCATCCATATGGTTGTCGTGTCATACAGGTTAAGAAACTATCAGTTTTTGCCTTATTATATATTGTTGTATTGTATACTCTTGACAGTGGATGGAAATGGATGTAGTAGTGAATATGATTATAAATCGGTATAGTTTTCATGTGACAGAGAGTCCTGGAGCATTGCAGTGACCCAAAAACCCAACAAATAGTGATGGATGAGATTTTGCAGTCTGTTTGCACATTGGCACAAGATCAATATGGGAATTATGTCGTTCAGGTTTGCTGTATTTCTTGTAAACTTTTGACCAATTACACGTGCTTCTGCAGATTTAAATTGCTCTGTATGTTGGAGCAATGGGTTGCATTTTCCAAATTAGGTGGAAGCCAATTTGAAAGTTTGGCTTTGGTCAAGTAAATTTTTGGGGTTTTCAGTTGATGTGTAAAAGATGAGTTCACATTGCATCTTATCAACCCCTTTATTGGTGTACTTGTTAGTGATTCATAATCCATTCTAATTGAATGTGAATTTGTTAGAATGGTGGAAAACCTCATTGTTTTTAATCATCTTACCCTCTTTTGTAGGTAAGTTGGAAATTTTTAGTTGATATAGCTGCAGCTCGTCATTCCTTGCCGTGTCAAAGTAGGATTTTTAAATGAAGATTGTTAAATCCATAGCCTAAAGAGCTGTGGATTTAGTAATCTATTTTAATTGTTCAGTCTTGTGTCCTTGTGCCTAATAATTAGATAATTTAATATTCAATGGAGGAAAAGGGCTGTGGAGGTAATTTTCATCTAATGCTGATTGAGAATGGGACAGGAACCACTTATTGTGATAAGCTTCCCTTGAATTTCTGTTTTGCCACTGAACCAATACTTGCAAGGACTTTCAGAAAGTTTACCTGTAAACGGTCATTTAAACCATTTAATCTTTTGGCCTGTGTATTTGTTACTTGGGCCCTACACTTCTTACCTTCTGATTTCTGCTCCTCTAATTAACTTAATTACCTGTCTATTCTGCCTTCAGTGAAAAAATGCCATAAAATTGCTGAATTCAACATTTTTTTATAGTGCTATATTTTTAGTTGCAATTCAGTTGTTGTATCAACTCTTCTGATTCCTTGCATACATTCTCACAGCATGTACTGGAACATGGAAAGCCACATGAACGTTCTGCTATAATTACTAAGCTAATTGGTCAGATAGTTCAGATGAGCCAGCAGAAGTTTGCTTCTAATGTCGTTGAGAAGTGTTTAACTTTTGGAACTGCTGCAGAACGCCAGCACCTAGTCACTGAGATGCTTGGCACCACTGATGAAAATGAGCCTCTTCAGGTTAGTCAATTGTGCACTTTCTATCCTAGAATATTTTCAAACTTGTGGACACATTTTCTTTTGCTTGTTTCCATGTAACAATCTTTTTTGCCTTTAGTGCCCTCTCCTCTTTAAGCAGCATTAGTTGACTTCTCATTTTTCTGTGGCTTGAGTTTGAGTATTTTTCTTTTGAACTTGAATTCTTCTCTATTTGTAGTCCATTTTGTAGTCCATTTTGTTCATTCTTTAAATTTTGTGGGATGATAAAAGGAAACATCTGTGGCATTCAGTTAGAAATTTTATTAATTTTGCAGTTCAATGGGGTATTTGATGCAGCAGGAGGCGGGTAGAAGTTGTAGCCTCTCACCTTCAGCTATATGTAAACCCTAAAATTTACTAGGTGTTCCTTAAATCCAAGACAAAGGAATAAAACAAACTGTTTAAGGCATTTGGCATTACAACCATTTATGGTGCATATATATATAGTAGAAGTAAAAAATTAATAATATGATATACATGAGTGGGGTGGCAAACACGATAACTGCTTTGAATGGGGAAACTATAGCCTCAACATTCCTGATCTTGTCACTGTCGCTCAGCTTACAGAAGTGACAAGAGTTGTAGATCCTTACCCTTGAATTTTGTCCAGGTATTTTAGAGTCGAAAAAAATTAGGTTACTGTAAAAAATAAATAAAGTAGGAGATTCAGGGGTTGCTTCGTCTTAAGCTTATGATCTAGGATCCCTAAACTTGAAGCGAACTTGCCTATCCTTTTTTGGGTGTCTTGATTTGTTTAATTTGGAAATAGTTGTCTTTATTTCCGTGGACACAAGACATTTGCGTTTTGCTCATTCTCTGAAGGATAACATTTTCTCTGCTTTCTAGTTCTTTATTGCTTGGTGGTACATACTCAGTTTCCAGTAACACCCTCTGTTTACTCTTGCTTGGAGTCAGGTCATGATGAAAGATCAGTTTGCAAACTATGTTGTACAGAAAGTTCTGGAGACTTGTGATGACCAGCAACTTGAACTGATTCTTAACCGTATTAAGGTTCATTTGAATGCTCTGAAGAAGTACACTTATGGGAAGCATATAGTTGCACGTGTAGAGAAACTTGTTGCAGCTGGGGGTACGTACTCACTTTCCTCCTTTTGCTTTTATACTGCCTTGTAATCTTTTTTCTTTTTATCAATACTTGAGGACAACCATTCCACTTTTTCGTAAACTTTTTGGTTCTATATTTTATTGTTTAACCTTCAATGGTTGACCAGGCGCGTAGCTGAACAATTGGTTGTTAATCTGATCTTTGTTCAACTGCTCTCATGGTGGCATATGTCTTGAAATGCATTTTAGGGATGCACATAAGAAGTGGACCAGAACACCACATGGTCATGGAGACATTGTAGGGAGGCATATGTAAATATATATATATATATATATGTTTTTTTCCCCACAACCATTTTTATTTCAAGGGTCTTGTCAACTAATGCTTGAAAAGATTGTGCATTCTTTATTGAATGCACTTAACATGTACCTTGAGGGCACACATTAGCAAAAATCCTTTTTTCAAATAGGAAGTGCATTAGTAGAGCAACAAAATGTGGATACATTTTAAAACATGATAATGGAGGCCGGCCTTATTCTAGAGAACTAAGAGCCTCTCTTGAATTCTTGTTTTTGTTACTAAACAGTAGTTGTCATGCACATGCTATTTGACATATTTTTATAAAATTACGCAATAACGCATAAGTTGCAGAATAATTTGGGTCTGCAAGGATCTGATTGCTCATACCTTATTTTTCATTCTCGGTGATTGATCCCACAGTCTGTGCTCTTGAATTTTCATCATGTAATTGTCTTGAATGATTCATTAACTGAAATGATTACTCTAACAAAGTGCTCAATCTCTTGCAGAGAGGAGGATCGGTGCTCTATCTTCATATTCCGCTTAGATCGCATATGAAAGAAGTTGTACAGCTAACCAAGGCTAGTATGAGCGCCCCACTTTCTTCTTTTATTTTTTTTCTTTTCTTTTCTTGTCTAGCTATGCTGTCTGTTGATTCAGATGAATAGTTGCTGATTTATAATAAAAGTTGTTGGATGTACTTAAAAAATTGTACATTGCTTAGTTTGAGGATATACCTAGAATCAAGCTTAGCTGAGGCTCAGATGGTGAACACACCTCACCTGATGCCCCTGCAGAGGAGATATAATATTACTGTACAAGTTTTTAAGGATGTAAAAAATGGAAGAAATGTAGTGAATTTGTGATCGTGACTGTACAAAATGTTGCCAGGCGGAGAGAGCCTTAAGGTCTTTAGGAGAGAGGCCAGATTTTTTCTGATGTATGGGATTTGATAATTTTCTTTCTTATAGAACTTTTTTCCTGATATATGGCTGAATTGTGTATTTTAATCTTTATTTATTTATTTTTTGTTTTGGTTAATCTTAAGCTAAGCTATGTCATTACCATATGAATATGAATGTTGCTTCTATTTGTTTGCTTGCTGGTTTTGCATAATTCTGATTCTATATTTGCCAAGTTGTAATGGATTGTTCAAATTTAAGAAATGTTTGGTTGAGTTTTAAAAAAAAAAGAAAAAGAAAAAAAAAAAGAAATATTTTCTAAAAATAGGTTGGTGAAAAAATGAAAAATTTGAAAAGAAATCATTTTTTTTTTTTAAATATGTAGTTTTCACTTTTTTGGAGGAGAAATGATTTTTGAAAATTTAAGAATATATTTGTGGGTGTTTATATTTATCAGACTAGTTTCTGTTTTTTATATTTATATTCATGATATAAATACAATATAAAGTATGATGTGGGAGAATATATTTTGGGAGGACTATATGGTGATTGTATACTATTGACTTGACATCAAGGATGAAGTAAGCCCCTCAAATTCAGTCACTTTTTTATCATGGGTACATTGCGAAAAGTATTTGTTGTAGAAGATCTCCAAAAACTGTGCCCAATCAATATCTTTGTTATTCTCATGGATTAATATCCACCACCTCTTCACTTTGTCTTTAAGCGTAAATGTTTCCAACTGTACTCTATGTGCTTCGAGGCATAGAAATACTTCAAAGAGCTTTTCTATGCCAAGGACCCAAGCCTCTACCTTCAATGGATCCACTCCCTCGTGGAATGTCGGTGGTTTTATCTTCTTAAACTCCTTAGTAAGAGCTATTGTTCGATCATCATTTTGCAAATCTTGCATAGGCTATACCAGAGGTGGAGGTGGTGGTTGTTGCCACTGTTGTTGCCATTGCTGTTGTTGCCTCATTATTTTTTCCATGTCCTGGATCAACCTATCCATTCTATCCAGTCTGGCAGTAGAGGATTCATCTATCTTATCGGCTCTTTTCCTCACCATTATCTGATGAGACTTGTATTATATTTCATACAAAAACAACGTACACAATATCCATAGATAGCAAGAGCACACATATACAGATATGCGGCAATTCATATATAATGTAATCACATATTTCAGAACACTTTAGTATAGTCTTCATGCATTCAAGCATATTTTTGTTACATGAATGCAACTTAAGTATTTTCTAGACACTCTATTGCTCACTTGGACAAGTGTGTGAGTTATTAACTCGTGCTCTGATACCACTCTGTTATAACGCGAACCCCTCTAAAAGTTAGGATCATAATTGGACAATAATCGTAAGATTACATACGACCTTAGATAGAAAATGAAACATATTTATCAATAGGGGGCTAGAAGTAGAAGCAAAAATACAAAGATTGTCCAATAAGCTGTGCATATGTGGCAAAATAAAAACCTTTCACACATATATATAATAACTCACACATCACATACATAAGAAATTTATACATGTCCAAGATCATTTAGAGATTGTCATATGATAAATCAAAAAAAAAAAAAAGTCCTAGCAAAAATCAAGGTTATATACAAACTTAGTCACACACGACCACAAAAGAAAACAAAAAAGGAAAATGAAAAGCTTCATACGTGAGGCAACCTTCGCTGACTTCAAAAACTTGGTACTCTTTCACAATTTCACTTGGGCTAGGGCTAGACATCCCGCTACTCACCTACATACATATAAATAAATAGTGAGCTAACGCCTAGTGAATAATACCAAAGTAAAGAGGTTAATGAATGAGATTCGTATATGCACAAATCGTACTTGTACTTAATACATATGAAGCACAATTCTCATTCATAACAAACTTAAGCAAGTCATAATGGAATGACCTTGGGTTCAATCCATTATACTCATAATGTATTGAAAGGACGAAACGACCTGGACTCCAAAATATTCATATACAAATGACCTTTGGTCAAATACATGCATATTCAAAACGACCTTCGCTCCAACACATTCATAATCAAAACGACCTTCAGTCTAAACCATTTATTCATAATTGAAACGACCTTTGGTCCAGCATATTCATATGCTCGTTGATAATCATGATCATGTTCACATTCGTATTCACATTCAAAACGACCTTTGGTGCACTCAATTCCTTATTCAAAATTACCTTTGGTCCATCTAACAAACATTCAAAATGACCTTCGGTCCATTTCATATATAAGACGACCATAGATCTATCTTGTCAAACATTCTAAACGGCCTTAGGCCCATTCCGTGTCCTTATCAAATATACCAAACAGCCTTGGGCCCATTTCATATTCTCATCAAACATACTAAACGGCCTTGAGCCCATTTTGTATTCGCACAAAACGACTTTTGGTTCAATCTTATGATTTTGTGCTTATCAGTTACGTTTTAAGTCTTTTATGAATCAGACAAGTAGAATACTCATTTATAATACAAATTCATGAGTTCAGAACTTACCACATAGGTAGTATTTAGAAAATAACATACATAAAATATTTTTACTAAGATATTACTCATAGTGTTCAGATGGTTGATTCGTCCTCGCAATTGACCCTACACAATTCATAACACATACGACAATCAGGTCATAATAAAATTCAATCGGTTCTTAATTTATTTCTCTTTCTTAGGCTTCTTTCTAATTCTTTAGTTCATTTAGAATGCTCAATGTATGCCTAAGAGTGCTCAAAAATGCAAAAGAATGGAAAGTGAGACATAAAACAACTTTTCAAAGTTTCCTGAAATAGGGCACTTCGCTTGAGCACAACATTGGTCGCTCTAGTGAACCCCTTGGTTTGCAAAAATACTGGATGCTCTCATTTTACGCTTGAGCCAACTTTTTGGTCGCTCGAGCCAAGACTGAAAATAAAAGAGTGGTCATTTGAGCGGTCTTTTGGTCACTTGAACCAACCTCCAATGTCTTCAAAAGTACTGAGAGCTCAAAATATACGCTTGAGCGACAGGTCCATCACTCAAGCAAACTGCTCAAATTTTGGAATTTCCAGAATACTGTTTGAGCTTCAAAACATGTTTTTAAAAGATATAACTTGTATGTTATGTTCTACATTTCAGCCATACAACTACTAATTTGAATACAAGAGCCAATTTACGAGATTGATGCTCAAAACATTATGAATTCATCATGCAAGACTCATTTTGTTTCAAATTCTTTTTCAAGACATCAAATTCAAGCAATTAAGCTCCAAAGCTTTGTCAATCATGCATGCATATGAAATGTAGTCTCTAATTTCATTTCAAATGGTATAAATGATACTCATATTCATGAGACTCACCAAAATTATGCATGCATGTGTGATTTGATACCAAATTCTTCATGTTAAGTTCATATCTTACTAAGTCACCAATTCTTCTTGAATTCTTACATTATATGATTTCAATTTACAATTGAGGTTCAATTACTCACCTAGAGCCTTCAACTCTTCCAAAGTTAGCTAGAACTTGTGTGAATCTTCCTAATCTCCAAGCTTTGAGTTCAATCCCTCATGTTTTCCCATTCTCTCCCTTGATTTCTCACTCTCTGTCTCTAAATGGTATAATCTCAGCCAAATGTAGCTCGACTTTTTGTGCTCCTTTCGGAAGATGAATAAGCCCTACAGTATCGGACTCCCAAGGTTCTGAATTTGATCCCACAAGTGTAATGTGAAATAGATAAACACCAAAGAGTCCAAATCCGGCAAATCTTTTGAAAAATCGATTTTGAATCAAAATGCCAAAAATAGACTACTTTGCCAGATACAGAGTCGCTACCTAAATATTTTTGGAAAATTTAGGAAGCCCATGACTCGTGCCAAAGGCCACGTGTTCATCATCACCAAGATTGTCTCAGCTCGGGAACTTAGGTACGAGAGGGGAAGGTCATGAATTGAGCACCCTCGCTTACCTGATCAAAGATCAACCTCTACTAATCATGATGTGAATCTTATTTATACTACATGCTCTTGTTCTGATTATTAGGCTAGCATTACTATGTGATGCGCACAAGTGTAGACTAATTTGCAAGAATCAAAATATTTGATTCATGTTTGTTTGCAAAATTGTTTCGAATACGTACCACTTGAAAAAGTGATCGTATACAAGTATTACTCAAATTATTCCAATTCAAGCAATTAGCCTTCATCCATAGGCATTCAAACAATTTATCATTTAAGAAATTAGCCTCATGGCAAGCATGCTAGACATGGCAATACTCACATATAATGCAATATGCTAAAGCGAGTAAAAGCTCACCTAGTATTCCAAGCCGAAAAGATAAAAGAGTTAGAAAATGCATGATCCTAACTACGCAATATGACTAATGAAACGCATCCGATATGCAATCTAAATAGGTTCGACTACTTAACATAACATGTGAATTAATTTGATAGCATGCGGTTTAAGCACCTTTTCAAAGAATGCATTGTTAGAATGATGAACCGAGCCTCGATGCATGCAATACAAGTGGATGTAAACATGAATAATGTTAAAAGAAAAATGATGTTCTAAACTATCCTTCACAAGCAATTAAATAAAGGGGAGAAAGACGTGGAGTTGGAAGACATACATATTATTACAAGTTTGCCCTCACGCAGGAGTGTTCGAATAAACTAACTAAGCTAAGCTAATTACTATGAATTAACTAACTATTACAAAATGAAATGAATAATTTAGCTAAGCTACTTAACTAATTATTACAACAAATTAATTAACTATTCTAGCTAATCAACTAATTATTACAATACATAATTAAATAACTAGTCTAGCTAACTAATTATTTACAACACTTTACAAAATTAACTAACTACAACTAATTAATTACAACAAATATCTAAGCTAAGTAGATAAAACAGCCTCGAGAAATGAGGAGTGCTCATGTATGCGTGCGGATTTCCACCCGAAAAAGCCACTGTTCTACTGCCAGGAAGCCTCTGTTGCACAATTGAACACTTGCACTGTTTTTCACCTCAAAACCAACTCTGTTCTGTTTCAAAAGGATACTGCTGGGTTTTGCAAAGG